AAACAAGCAAGCAGCAGCTCCCATACAAAAATCCAGGTCAGGCCCAGCAGCTGGGGCACAGGGTTTACAACGTTGTGACTGCCCTGCTACCCCTCAGGAAGTAGGGTGGAGTGAAGATGACAGAGTTCCTCAGACAGCACCAGGCACCCATCCATCTGTCCCTGAGCAGTCTGACAGGAAGGGGGCAGTCGGCACAGTGCTCTCAGGGTCACTGGAAGGTGGGTAAGGAGAGCAGAACCACCAGGAAATAGTAACTGGAAATAATGCCTGGGAGGGGACAGGAGGCGGCCAGAGTGGATAAAATAGGAACGGAGGAGAAAGACAAATTGAAGCCTCTTCCAAACACCCTTTGAAGTAGAGACCACTGATTCTTGGGGTCACAGGGAAGAAGAGCTGGCCTAAAGCTTCTGCTACACGTGCCGATAGAATTTAGGAGTCAGTGTCATGTGTGGGTGTGGTAAGGAGGGGGTGGCCAAAGATATCAGGCTCACCCCCTCCTGTACTCAGGGTTACAAATTAACAGTCATCAGAAATAGGAAAGAAATGATCCTTCGGATACAAAGAGACAAACCTTCTATGTGACCCTGGGGAGCACAGCGCAGGTCCACTTATTCAAGTCCTGCTGCAGTACTGGGCAAGTTGTGTCTTGGGAGAGCAGCAAGCTAACCACAAACCACTCAGTCGTTTTCAAGTAGATTTTCTAAGACTTTAGAGGTCCTCATTCTTTAGTGACACTAAAAATGAGTGGATGAGTGTTTTCAGGAGCTGAGAAATGTTAGGCCAAGGGAAGAAACACACAGAAACAGCAACTCAGGGCAGATCTGCATTAGCACGGGCAGTTAGTGGAGCAGAGAGACAACACTTCGAAGGTCTTAGAGCTCCTGGTTCTGGGGGTCTGATAGGAGACACGCCTCTGCCATTATCTTCCTAGAGTGAAGACTGTTATTCACTGTCCCACACTCCCTCTGGCAGGGAGGCCCTTCTTGCCACCAGAGAGGCAGATGACACAGTGAACTTGTCACATAGGAAGCAACAGTCCTATGAGCTCAGGACACATGCTCTTCCTGAGGCAAAGCACTGCAGTTCTAGAATAATCCTCTCCCATCAGCCTTGCTTACTATTTCTGCATGCCAGCTCTTAAAAAGATACCGGGAAACACACAACAGGAAGGGTCACTAGGTTTCTGCCTGCTTGGAGTTCTTGTTCTATGAGTCACACAATCACATGCAAACTAACTCCACAAAGTCTTAGACCAAATAATAGTGGGGCAGGGACCCAAGAACTGCAAATGGATGCTCTCCATCATCCCACATGGGGTTTGTATAACAAATGCCTCTTCCTCCTGATTCACTGAGACTCAAATGAGAGGCTAGTAAACTGACTTCCAGGGATGCAAAAACCAAAATGGACAACACAGCTAGACTTGGCTCGAATGGGAAGCTGCAGGAGCTCTTCATATAAAACTCACCTGCCCTCCATGGTAGTTTCCAGAAGTAAAAATAAGGCAGGGTTGCAGCAGCTGCTGCTTAAGCAGCATATATTGTCTGCTGGAGAATGAAGATGTAAAGTCTGGATACAGCATTTACAGCCAAACTTTATTCTCAAACCAGCAGAGCTAATCACACCCTACTGATCTATAGCTTTCTGCATCTTCCAATGCAAATTTAAGATAAAAATAAAGGTGAGGAAGTGAGATTCTTACTCCCCCTCATCCTTCTGATTTAGAATTTTTTGTCATCAGGTCATTTAAGGGTTTCTGCTTCAAGACCTCCAACCAACCATTCTCCAGCGTTCTCAGACAAGGCTGGGCTTGTCCCTGGTCTGTCAGCAGGGCCCACAAGATAGAAGCCCATCTGTACAAGGAAGAAAAAGCCCAACAGGACCCTTTCCTTGTCTACCCTCTCACTGAAGCAACTAGATGAGCTGCTTGACTTTAAAAGCAATAAGCTTTATTTTTAAAGAATTTGATTTATTGGGCCTGGAGATGGCTCAGTAGTTAAGAGCACTGGCTATTCTTCCACAGGACCCAGGTTCAATTCCTAGCACCTACACAGCAGTTCACAAGAGTTTACAGAGTACTCTAAAAAAAAAAAGGGGGGGGGGGGGCTGAGGAGATGGCTCAGACTGCTCTTCCAGAGGTCTTGAGTTCAATTCCCAGCAACCACATGGTGGCTCACAACCATCTGTAATGAGATCTGTTGTCCTCTTCTGATATGGAGGCAGAACACTGAATACAAAATAAATAAATCTTTAAAAAAAAAAGGGAAGGAATTTTGTTTATTGCTGGGTGATGGTGGTGCACACCTTTAATCCCAGCACTCAGGGGGTGGAAGCAGGCTGATCTCGGAGTTCGAGGCTAGCCTGGTCTACAAAGTGAGTTCCAGGACAGCCAGGGCTGTTAAAGCATTATATCGAGTATGCATGTATGTGTGCATTCCGTGGTGTACATACTGACGTCAGAGGACAACCTTCAGTAGTCTGTTCTCTCCTTTTACTGTCACAACTCGGTGCCAGAGTGTCCTGCAAACGCCTGCTGAGCCACCTCAGCAGTCAAAGATCATGATCTATGAGCAATTCTAGTCACCTAAGAGGTTGCTCACACAGACAGGCAGGGTGTCACTCTCCTCTTTCCAGTGAAAACTCTCACACTTCCTAGCCATGTCAGCTCAAGGCATGTTTTAACATATTTTATAAGATAACTGAAAAATCAAATGGGCTTCAGGGGCCTCCAGCTACAAACAGTCCAGACTGGACTTCAGTGGCTACAGAATTAATTCAAATAATGAATTACAACAAACATTCCAAACAGTATAGAACACCCCAAAGAGAACATAGTAACTTATCACTAAGTTTACCTTGAAAATGCTCACACCACCATTGCTGACTTGGCTAAATCAACTTAGACATAGAAATCTGATCAGAAACTACAAAAACTACCTGAGGGATACTTTTATATCCAGAAAAGGTGTAAAGGTCAGAGTGAGTATGAGTAATAAAACACATTTTTAAAATATTAAGCATAATGTATTTCATATTCCAAATACTGGGGGAGATGGAAGTTAGGTCCCTTTAGTCTTCCAGGGATGGTTGACCTCAAATTTAACTCAAAGCCAAAACCAAACATTAAGGACCACCAAGTAAGCAATGACCTGAGCCACTTCCACTCGGCAGGTACTGGATTCAGTGTTGCCCTTGACAGCTTGCTTTGACCAGGGAAAGGGATCCCAAGATGCTAGGGTAGACTGAACACATCCCACAATAAAGGTGTTTAAGCAGGAGCCTAGGGTGGGTGCTGGAAGACCTGGTGAAAAGGGACACCACCTTAGTAGGGCCAATAGAGATGCAGCAGCGATGGGCGGAGGAATAGGACAGATGACACGGGGACACTGCTTACAAAGTGATTATCTGTGTAATCAAGAACTTTCTCCACAACTCCTCCTGGCCACCCTGAGGTTTTGGCATATTGAAACAGAATGTCACTATGCAGCTGAGGTCAACCTCAAACGCAAGAGCTTTTCCATCTTAGCTCTGAGATTGTAGGTGCCATGTCAACTATTTTATTCTACACCTTTCTGCGGTTGACTTTTTTTTTTTAATTATAAGAGGCGTATTCTGGAGTGGGTAGAAAATGAACCTAAAGGCTTCTTTTCTCCCTTCTAGACACAGTCCCTTGCTATTTTCCCATCCTGGCCTGGAACTTGCAGCGATCCTCCTGCGTCTTTCTTTTGTTGGGATCACAACTACACTAGACCACACCTGGCTCCCGGGGCTTTGATTTTCTTTATGTTTATTGTGGGAGTACAGGCACATGCATGCCACAGCTTGCGTGAAGGTCAAGGACAACTTTCTGGAGTCGTTCTCTCCTTCCACATCTTCTTCAGGCAGGTCTCTTGTTTCTGCCAGTGCTATGTGCTCCAGGCTGCTGGCTCTCTTTTAGCCTCTGGTCTGTCCTATCTCCATCTTCCACTTGGTTACACGAGTGAGGGATTATGGAAGCACACTACATTCAGATCTTTTATGTGGGTTCTGGAGGTCCAACTCCATTATTAGGATTGCAAGGCAAGCACTTCCAGGTCATCCTGGCAGCCCCCAACAGCTTTTCCAAATGGGAATTTTCCATGTTAAACTTTACTAGGGCTGGAACTGCAGCTCAGTGGTAGAACATGCAAGGGTCCTGGGTTCCATTCATGGCCCCCAAAACAACCCCCAAATCCAACCAATCAAACAAAAACCCTACTGAATTCATAGAAGTATCCTGCACATGCAGAGAGGAAGCATTTACATTGGGGTGTCAGAGCTCTCTCCACCTGAGCGACACCATGGAGTCTTAGTGTGACAAATAAGCTGGTACAGGGTTCATACCAACATTTGAAAAGACATCTACTACTGTCCAACATGCATGATGTGCCTCATGTTACTTGAGAGAGGAACATGTGTCCTGCCTACCACACAAAGCCAGAGCTGTACACCCATTGACCTCCTCCTTTTGATTTGTGTTTTTGGTCCAGAAAGGTTGGAATTTGCCTTAACAGCAGAGGTTATCAAGACAAATTCAATGAGCCTGCATTAGTCAATACACTCTGAGAAGAAACACAGCATTCAAGACTTTTGACATACTGGTGAATAACAGACTCATTCAAACGTTAATGGGAAAAAGAGACGTGCGGGAATGGCTTACACTTGGGCAAGTCCACTACCCACTAGCATTCAGGGTTTACTGTCAACTTGTTAGGCACTTAGGGGGAAAAATTCTAAATACATTTTCGAAGTATGCTTACGTATGCACTGAGAGTCTAATTTAAAAGTATAATTCCTGCCAGGTAAAGCAGTATAAACCATGGCAATCCCATTTACTCAGGGTGCTGGCTGAGGTGGAGGGGAACTGGAGGCCAGGTGCCAAGACCAAATGGTCTTGGAGGAAAAGAAATTTTGTGCAAGGTAATCTGAACATAAGGGGGAGAAGGAATAAAAAAACACAAGTAATTTAGCTTTCAAAAGAGAAGATTTTAAATAAGTTTAATATGATAAATAAATCTGGTAGTATAGAACTCTAGGACCTTTCATCTGATTGTTTTCTACATTAATGGAGAAATAAATCAGACTTTATTCTTATATATTCTGGTAGAACCAGTACCTATAGCACTAAAACAGCCCTTTTAGCATCCAGGGATCATACTGGCTTGCACATCAACATCCTAAAAGCCTTTACCCCAACACCCTATTAAACATCACACATGGCCTCCAACATCCAAGTTCAGAAACAAACATACTTTAAACTCAATCTCACATTTTCTGTGGGGTTTTTTGAAGAGGCTTGACTTTGAGCCATAGGTACTAACCTTTTTTCCTCTTGGGTGGGGTGGTGGGGGATGGGATGGGACAGGTTCCAGGCTTGATATAGATACTGAGCCCCTTACTCCCTCTCAGGACTCCCGCCTGTCCGTCTGTCTGATTTCATACCCCACTCATAGGAAGGAGAGAGAGAGAGAAAGAGAGAGAGAGACAGACAGACAGAGACAGAGTCAGACAGAGACAGAGACAGAGAGAGATTGAGAGAGAGAGAGAGTACATGAGCACTGTTATGTTCTGGTCTTCTGAGGTGCCAACATTTGACACAATCCTGCTAACACTGACACAGGCATCTGGCTGTTACAGGGCTCTTCCTGTACCCCTGATGGGATAAGATGGGGGTGGGGCTCAATAAACTAACCATTCCCCCACCCCCAAGCAACTGCTGTGAAGCAAGTAACTCAAGTAACTCCGCAGACAGGCAGAGATCACAGCACGTTCCTGTCAGTACAGGACAAGGCAGGGCCTTTGTGCTTGAACTTGGGCAGTGGGGACGTCTGGGCTTAGTTTGGGGTTTGGGACTTGCCATCCACTTCATACTAATAATGACTTCTCACAGTTTAGAAGAGGGAATGTGCAGGGGACACTGAGCACACCGTGCAAATGAGAGTACAGCAAAAGATACAAGAAAACCAAAAGGCAAAGCTTCTTTCCACCAAAATGACTCAACTCTTTCTCACCCTAACTTTCCTGCTTCTGTTACAGTTTCCAGACTGGTAAAGACTCAGGCAGGGTCCCCTAATGGTGAAATTTAGATTAAAAAAATATTTATTGATGTTTCTTTTAAAAATGTTTGGTAATCCCAACTAATCATCCAAAATGCAAACTGTAAACACAACAGTGAAGGAGTAACAACTGAGTGTGAGCAGCAGACTACGACTGGGAACAGGCTGAGCCAGAGTGCAGCAGTGAGTAAGAGAATGGGAGATGGGTGCACAGTGACAGAGTGACAACTGAGCAGATAAGTAACAGTAATCATATTTGGACCCCAGCAATTTCAATATAGCTGCTAAGGAAACCTCTGGGCCAAATATTAAAACATCAGATGAATGGACAAGCCTTCTTTGTGAGCATGCTCAGCATGTTGGCATGGAAACAAGGAAGCACAGAAGTTGTGTAAGCATCTCCCAATGGATAGATACCATTTCTGGATGCAAAGAAATTTTTTCTGGTCCCTGGATACATCATGTATTTTCTCCATGCTACTTTTCACTCTGGAAGATTGCAGTTACTGCTTCAAAATCCCCACAGAAACCCCTTAATAAAATAAAGAAACCATAGTAGCAGTAACACTGGGTTTTGCTGGAATGTCCCCTCCCTCTATCACGGCCTAAGATTTCTTCTGGGCATGTCCAACAGGAATGGTTAAGTTTTACCAATCCACTTGTTACAGCCAGTATGAACTTCAGTGCCATGGTCACAGAACTGCAGCAGATGGGGGTGAGGGCGAGTCCCTGTGAATGTGTGGCTCTGGGGATCTGGACGCTGCCCTCGCTTTGTAACCCTTGCCCAGAATGCTGGGGTTGCTTCCACTGGAGAGACTCCATGGTAAGTCTAGAAGTGTCATTAAATACTCAGTCACCAAGGTTGACCACCTCCATTGTCATAGGATGATGCAGCACCTGCAGAAGCGCTGTCTGCTGCCCCCTACTGATGGGGGTGGAGTGACAGGTGCGAAGTAGGCGTGGACTTTAATATTGGGTAAATGGGTCTGAAACAAGACAGAAACATTATTAAGACAGAGCTTAGAAGGAGCAACGCTCTTTCTCAGAGAAGCCAAGGGGCTGAAGGACGGGACAGCAGAACTGGCTAAGCACTACTTAGGATGTGAGGAGGCCGGGCTCCACTCTGTTCTGTAGAGAAGGATGGGAATGAAAACAATTCTAATTTTTCATCTTGTCCCAAAGGGATTCACAGTTAGAATCCCATAGCTGGAAGACGCTAGACAAATTAAAACAATTACTTTCTTTACTATGTCTGAATACATAGTTTAAGGCAGTATGCTCCTTGTTAAGTGAGAGGGTACAAAGATGGGGATCTCATCCCTCAGGCCCTAATCATCTCTAGACACACCCCTCAGCTCAGTAAACAGGAAAACTGCTATATGACTCAAATCAATCTCCTGAAGACTCAGAGAGGGCGTTAGATGGTTAGACCAGGGCACCATACACAGTATCCTCTAGCAGAGGCTATAAGCCAGGCTTGGGGTGCACACCTATAATCTGAGCATTCAAGGGGAAGAGGCAGGAAAATTATGAGTTCAAGGTCATCTACTACACACTGAATTAAAAGCCAGCCTGTGCTACATAATACAATCTCAAAATACCAGGGAACACTGCTCTAGCTAGCCTGTGACTACCTCTCTTTCTTTTGAGAGAGGAGCTGTGGTCTCTATGTGTTCTCCTAAGCTAAGTGTGGAGATGCCCCAATCTCCCGTATCTACCCCATCTTGCTCCATGTTCACCTCTTCCTGTACATGCTAGGCAAGCTCTCTCCCCCTAAACTACAGTCTCACAGGCTCTCACTGAATAGTCCATGTGGATGCTGAGCTCACCCTACAGGCCAGAATGGCACTGCACTCGACTCTCCTCTCAGCCCTCTGATTACCAGGATGCAAGCCTTGCCCTGCCAGATACTGCCTGTGTCATTCCTCTTTTCTTCAGGGCCAAATTCTGGCATGAGGTCTTTTCTGGTTGTTAAGTCTTTCCTCCCTTGCTAAATATCCACATAAATTAAAAACCATGAGACTCTTAAGTCTGAAAAACAGACAAGAACAGGCAAGACAAGAAAAGGAGGGGGGGGAGATCGGTGCAGCTTTACCCTGAGTCTCTTGATTCCAGCCCGAGTGATTTGCTGGCAGTCATAGAGTTCTATCCGCTCAAGGCTATGACAGCTCTTCAAGTGTTCCAGGGATGCGTCAGTGATCAGCGGGCAGTTGTCCAGCTCAATCACCTCCAGCTGGTCATGGGCACAGGCCCCATTGCCTAGGTGACGGATGCCATCGTCTGTGATCAGCTCGCAGTGAGAAAGACTCTGCAACCAGAGAGCAAAGGTGGACAACCAGGTTCTCCCGCCACACGCTGTCAAATTCCAACCCAGACCCTTGTGGTTGAGCCTACAAAGCTATCTAGAGCCATTCATGATGAAACAAGAATGCAAACCATTCTTAAAAAATTACCCATCCCCACCAGGTGTGGTGGCACAATCCCCTTAATTCCAGCAGACTCAGGAGGATCTTTGTGAGTTCAAGGCTAGCCTGGTCTACATAGCAAATTCCAGGATAGCCAGGGCTACATGGCTACACAGTGAGACCATGGTGCTTCAATTCTGGGAAACTCAGAGCAGGCAATCCAATTTTAGATATTACTGGCTCACCAAAGTAAGACAGCCTATGTTCTGTATTCTGTTCTGGATACAGAACATCTACCAAAATGACTCCTATAGATTTAACCAAAGCATGAGCCACAGAGGGCCTTGTCAGTTCTGGGTTTCTGTTTTGTAATGCACATTACTATATAACCCAGGCTGGCCTCAAACTCTAGGTGATCCTTCTGCCCCAGTCTCCTGAGTCTGGATTATAGCACACAACATTACACCTGGTTAGCAATATAACTGATTAGATACAATAACAGATAAAACATTCTTTTTTGTTTGTTTGGTTTTGTTTTTTTAAGACAAGGTGTCTCCATGTAGCTTTGGCTGTCCTGGAACTCAACTCCGTAGAACAGACTGGCCTTGAACTCAGAGATCTGCCTGCCTCTGCCTCTTGAGTGCTGGTGTGTACCAATACTGCCTAGTCATTAAACATCTTAAAATGGGAATAGTGAGATGGCTTGGTAGGTAAAAGAACTTGTTTCCAAGCCTGATGATCTGTGCTTGATCCCAGGAACCCATGTAGAGTAGGCAGGAGGGAATTAACTCCAGAAAAAATTTCTCTGACCTTCACATGTGCATCAGAGCACACACACACAATATTACAGATTCAAGGGAGCCTGAGTTCAATTCCTAGCACCCACATGGTGGCTTACAACCACTCACAACCCCAGTTCCAGGGGATCTGATAGGAACAAATGTAAGTGATGCATACACATGTGTGTAGGCAAAACACCCATATACATAAAGTAAAGTAAATAAATTTAATTTTTTGAATAAATAAATTTAAAACACTCACCAACACTTGAAGCCGAGGACAGTGTATAGAGAGCTGGATCAATGTACTGTCTGTGATCTAGAAACAAGTGAGTTTGTTGCGGATAAAGTTTTATCTGTTTAGACACAATTCATGATTATGCTCTACACAGCTATGCTCCAGGTCAGTAGTCATTAAATAACACATTCTCAAGCTTTGTGTCCCCCAAGCTACAAGAGCTGGTAACAAAACACTCAAAGGATGCACAAACACACCCAGACCTTTCTAATCTCCATCTTTATTTAAAATTCTCCCTAAAAGAATTATAGACACAAACATTTGCTTTTCAAACATTATCTTTAACATACAGTGATCAGGTGCCTCTGGAGGCTGACTCTATCCCAAAAACCGGAGGTTAGGCAGCTCACAGGAATCTAATATGCCCTCTTCTGGCCTCTGTGGGTGAGATGCCCATGCGCTCCACTCACACATGCACACACAGTTGCACGTGCGCACACACACTACAGACATCAAACTCCAAAGGTGTTTGATGCTATTATGGGGTTGGCATCTTTAGGGTCTAAACTCAAGACATCTTCTTGCTTTTGAAAAAGTATTTATCTAAGATTTGCCTAAACTGCCATGCCTCTAAGAACCTTGTCTGGGTTTTAAGCCTTCATTGTTTAAAATTCTGTTTATTTTGGTTTTTTTTCTTTCTTTTTTTGAGACAGGGTTTCTCTGTGGCTTTGGAGGCTGTCCGGGAACTCAGAGATTCACCTGCTTCTGCCTCCTGAGTGCTGGGATTAAAGATTTATTTATTTATTATGTCTGCACGTATGCCTGCAGGCCAGAGCCACCATGTAGTTACTGGGAATTGAACTCAGGACCTCTGGAAGAGTAGTCAGTGTTCTTAACCTCTGAGCCATCTCTCCAGCCCCAAGTTTTGCTTTTTTTAAAAAATTCTGCTATATTTTAATTAAATTAGCCATCTCTCCATTTACACCTGGTATTTTACACTAAATCAAAATCTGTCCTCTTTTGTTTTTGTTTTTTTATTTTTGGTTTTACGAGACAGGGTTTCTCTGTATTGTTTGAGGCTATCGATCCAGCCTGGCCTCGAACTCCCAGAGATCCGTCTGCCTCTGCCTTCCGAGTGCTGGGATTAAAGGCGTGTGCCACCACCGCCCGGCAAAATCTGTCCTCTTAAAACTTCTGTTCACTTGACTTCTTGATGTCCATCCTTTCTTTGGAAAAGTAGAGGGAAAAACCATAGTATATGATCCATGAAAAATTAAAGTCAAAGCACCCTTTAAATGTTAGGTATCTTCCCCCCTCCCCACCTCCTTAAGGCAAACCACCACATAGGACAAATGAAGTCACTTCTGGAGCCCCAGGTGGCATATGAATGTTACAAGGAGGAAATGTTGCCGGGCGGTGGTGGCCCACGCCCCTTAATCCCAGCACTTGGGAGGCAGAGGCAGGCGGATCTCTGTGAGTTCGAGACCAGCCTGAACTACCAAGCGAGTTCCAGGACAGCCTCCAAAGCCACAGAGAAACCCTGTCTCGAAAAACAAAACAAAAAAACAAAAAAACAAAACAAAACAAAAAAAAGCAAGGGGGATATGTTTCAGTGATCTTAGGACAAATAAACCATAAGTTTGCCTCTTCTCAAACTCCTCTCCTACCTTTGTTTCTATTACACACAGCTTGAACTGATGAGTATGGAGGGCAGATTATTGATTTAGAGGGACTAACACTATCAAAGACACAGAAGTCACTGAGGCATGAGCAAGAGGTGAATGGATAGGGAGATATTAATTCACTAATGAACAGTGGCTATTATATAGTATCTGGTGGGCTTGGAAGATACCCAGGAAATGGAGAATCAGGGACATTGTCAGACACACACTATCTCTATCACAATGCCCCTTTGAACAAGACACATGCTTACCTGAACACATTCTTCTAGGTCCATCTTTTCAAGCTCATGGCAGTTCTACAAAGTATAATGCCATATAATTCAGTACAAACTTTTAAAGCATTGGCAAAGTATAAAAACAAAAAAGCCAAACCCTAAAAACAAAACTAAGAACTATATTAAATGTACCGATCAAATCTTGGTGTTAGTCTAGTACCACTTTTTTATTATATTTTTTAAATATTTACTTTTTATGAATAATAAAATAAATACTTATAGGCAAGGATGTCTGCAGGCCAGAAGAGGGCACCAGATCTTGATAGATGGCTGTGAGCCATCATGTGGTAGCTGGGAATTGAACTCAGGACCTCTGGAAGAACAACCAGTGCTCTTAACCTCTGAGTCACATCTCCATCTTTTCTGAGACAGGGTTTTACTCAGTGGCCCAGGTTGTCCTCAAAGCCAAGATTGACCTGCCTCTGTGATGATCTATTATTTATGATTAAAGCTTGCCTGACGATTCAGAAAGCAAAGTCAGCCTCAAGCTATAGAGATCAGGCAGTGGTGATACACTCATCCCCCTTTTTAAATTTTATTTTTAATAGTATTGCTATATACACCTTTAATCCTAGGACTCGGGATTAAGAGGTAGATGGATCTCTGTGAGTCCAAGGCCAACCAGATCTATATAAGATTGATCCAGTTCTAAACAGAAACAGCTCACATAAAGATGATCTCAGTTTCCCAAGGGCTGTGACTAATTATAAATGTGCATCATCATCCCTCAGTAAGTCTAAAATTTAATAAATTTTAAAAGGCTTTGGTCACAGTAAAATATCTCAATTATTTCATACTTAAACACTGAACATTATATAAGTCTAAATAAGTAATTTTTCAAAAAATTAATACACAGTTAACAAAGAGATCTTTTTTTTGGGGGGTGGGTTTTTTTTCAAGTCAGGGTATCTCTGCGTAACAGCTCTGACTATCCTGGAACTCACTCTGTAGACTAGGCTGGCCTTGAACTCAAATCTATGCCTGCCCAATGAGATCGTTTATAACTAAAAAAATAACTCAATAAAAATTGTTTCTTTGGAAGAGAGGATGTTTTTGTTCCATCTTTTAGCCAGGTATGCTGGTTTTCACTGTATCAGTACTTTATGGATTGGCCTAAAAGCAAATTACATTCCCCATTTTTTTAAACTTTATCTTTATTTCACGTACATTGGTGTTTTGCCTGCACATATGTCTGTATGAGAGTGTTGGATCCCTTGGAACTGCCATGTGGATGCTGAGGGTTGAACCCTTGAGCCCTAATAGAGCAGCCAGTGCTCTTAACCCGAGCCATCTCCTTAGCTGCACCCTCTTATTCTTTAATATTAAAATTCTCTGGAAATGTATGTCTCTATTGACTTGTGTATTACTAATCAGGCCTATATCTTCTTGAACATTATTTTTATTCAATCACATAAACCAAGAGTTTTATGAAGTACCAGAAGCGTCTTAATGAAACTGTGGAGAATTCAAGGTTTGTCAGGGAGCGCATGTTCTCCAACATGTCTGTACTTCAAGAGTCAGTTGCCTTTTCTGAGCATCAGGCTTATAGCTCTTGCATAAGAAGGCTCAGATAGTCATAGAGGAGATCCTCCTGTCTCACACCTATTTCTGCTGCCATGCTAAGTTTCTCTTGTTGCTTCATCAATCCCCAAAAAAATCTATAAAAGTCAACTACAGAGCCTAGAGAAACACTTACCCTGGCCAGAGTAGTGAAGCCCACATCTGTTAACTGAGAACATCTGGCCACTTCTAATATTCTATTAAAAGAACAAATTGAAAAGAAAGTTAGGTCTTGGTTCATGAAACAGCATGAATTTAAGAAAGCAATCTTTTATTCTGTAACAGTTTATATTAATGACAATTGCATTAAAAGCCTTCTTGATAGCACACTGCTTACCCACAGAGGGCAGCCTGCTCCTAGAAAACAAAGGAAATGGAGGTAAATACTCTATTTCAGTTCATCTGTTGCTGAAGTAAATATTTTGTTTTTCATGTAGGTCTCTGCAGATTTCAATAGCTTTAGAAATTTGATGAGCAAACAGGCTTGTCCTATGCCATATGCACGAAGCTGCCAGTCTCCTCGCACAGGCCCCTGGGGCATGCAGAAGGAAATCAGGATGGCAGCCACTCTATTTAGCAACTGCTAACCACTGACCAAAGACCATGCTTTACAACCCTTACAACCCAAGTCAAAAGGTGAAGTCAAAGCATAAGTCATTACCAAATAAAAGGAATGAATGCCATAAGGAGAACATGGTCACAGCTGAGCCTTGGATGCTCACAAGGTAGGGGACACACAGGAAGGTGGAGCTGAAGAGCCCTGGCTTTAAAGTAGGGAAGGCTAACAGACTGAGAAGAACTCTCCTCTAGACTGAGGTACTGTAACCTAGGCAGAAACTCTCAGTAACTGTAGTTAGTCCATCACTAGGCAACCCTCAAAAATCTTTAGATAGGGATGGTGCGGGAGGAGGGGAGGGAGAGGGAACTGGGACTGACATGTAAAACAAGCTATTTAAAATGAAAATAATAATAATAGTAATAGTAATAATAATAATAATAATAATATCTTTAGACTTCCAGAGGGCCTGTCCTGGAATCCATGCTCTTGCACTTTTACTGGCTGTGAACTTTCATAGGTCACTTCACCCCCTGGACTCTGGCTTACTCTTCTAGGATATGAAGATAGAAACTGTGCTTATGTTAAAAATCAGTATTTATAAAGCATCTAAACAATCCCTAACTACCATTGTAAGTCACTGGGGACATCGACACGCAGTACAAAGCAGTGCTCTGTACGTGCTTCCTGAAAACCACTAAGGTCTGATACTATGTGCATCCTAATAGAAGATGCTGGGCAAACATCCAGACACTCCCATATTCAACCAGAGAAGACCTTCATAATAACATAGCTGTTCTAACAGATGATCAACATGGTTAGGCATGGTGGCCCATGCCTTTAGTCCCAGCACTCTGAGTTCGAGGCCAGCCTGGTCTACATAATGAGTTCCAGGATAGTCAGGCTACATAATAGAGAAACCTTGCCTAAAAATAAAGAGAACTTTTCTTCCATGGATTACAACAACATAAATAGCCTCAAGACGGGCTTTTAAAAAGTGGAGAAAAGAATCTCTGTGAGTTGAGGCTAGCCTGGTCTACAGAGCAAGTTCCAGGACAGCCAGGACTACACAGAGAAACCCTGCCTCAAACAAAACAAAAACAACAACAAAAAAAAAAAATAGGAGAAAGGAATTTTAAGGAAGGATAAATCTTTTCTACTATGATCAGGAAGATGGATTCTTGGTTGATGTCATTGACAAAGCCATCTAGAAGGGTAGTGACATTTCAGTGAGCTTAAAAGTTTCACAATTCCAAGGTGGTTTCTTCATGCCTTGATTTTTTGAACTAAATAAACCGTGTTTACCTAAGCCGAGGGCAGTTCTGACCTAGAGCATTCAGGATGGCATCTGTGATATTGGAGCACCCAGAGGCACAGAGGGACTGCAACTTATGACAACCTCTGCATATGGTGATGAGGCCTTCATCTGTGATTTGCTAAAACAGAAAAGTGAGAAAAGTCAATATTCATTATTTACAAAAAACCCCAAAAAACAAACAAACAAAAACCCTTCTGTGGAAGTAGCAACACTGAGGGAGGAGTCTAGGTAGTCTGAACATCCACCAGACACCCCAAAAAGACAATCTCCTCCTAGCTGCTACCGACTCTGCAGCTGTGTTTACTCTGTCTCAAGGGGAGGAATTAGACTCTTTTTAACCTAATGGTGTTGGGAACAGCTTGGGGCATGTCATGGTGAGGGCTCAATTAAAAAGCTGTAAAACCTAGAAAACAGTTAAGCACATCAGCCTTTCTTTTTTTGAGACAGGGTTTCTCTGTGTAGCCCTGACTGTCCTCAAACTCACAGGGATCCACTGCCTCCAGAGTGCTGAGATTAACGGTGCGAGCCACCATGCCCAGCAAGAATAGCATTCTTTTAAGAGTGTGAACATATTTACAAGTATAGTTGAAAATTATTCATGAAAAAGCAAATTGTGGATGGCTACAATCTCACTGCAGCATTGATTTATTTGTATTTTTAGGACAAATATTACAATTAATACAACTAAATAGATGTGTTTAATTCAGATATAAATCACTATTTTAAACTACTTTGAATTGAAATAACAGTTTGAAATTTCAAAAATATTATAATTAAGTAAAATGTCAGAATTAGGAGTATGGGTAAACACTGATAACCCTAACACAGGCAAGACAGAGGCAGGAGGATAAGCTCAAGGCCCTCCTGGGCTACATAATCAGACTATGTTGAAACAAAAAAATTATATATATATGTGTGTGTGTGTATATATATATATCTATGTGAAGACTATATCAACGGCTGTGTGGATCTCACTATGTAACTCAGGCTTGCTTTGAATTCATGGTGATTCTTCTGCTTCAGGCTTTTAAATGCTGGAATCACAGATGTGAGTCATTCTGCCTGTTATGTCTTTGAAACAGGGTTTCACTATGCAGCCGAGTCTGGTCTAGAACTTGCTACATAACCCATGCTGGCCTTCAACTCATGATCCTCTTGTCCCAGTCTTCTCAGTGCTGGGGTTTCAGGATTATAGGTGTGTGTCACTACACCTGTAAGCTACTGTTTTTGATGCAATTTTTGTAATTATGTTACTAGGAGGAATTACGGGAATGGATGCTTACTAAGCAAGTTTGCAAATTCAGAGTCACCAGCTCAGGGCAGTGTGCACCTATGTACTTGAGAGCTTCATCTTCTAGCTGAAAAGATTAAAAAATAAGAGATTACTGACATTATTTCAAATGAGAAAAAGATTCTACATATTCATCAATATATTCTCAGCATAGCTAAACTAGTTGCAAAGGAACATTGAAACACAAAAAAGAAAAAAACTATAAAAAACAAAAAACATGATAAAATGATCAAGTCTTATTTCTAGTAGTAATAGTTACCAGGATATTTAGAAGTCAGTTCTTGCCATACCAAATTCTTTTTTGTTTTTCGAGACAGTGTTTCTCTGTATTGTTTTGAGGCTGTCCTGGAACTCACTCTGTAGACCAGGCTGGCCTCAAACTCACAGAGATCCACCTGCCTCTGCCTCCTGAGTTCTGGGAATAAAGGCATGCACCACCAACGCCCACAAATTCTTTTTTTTTTTTTTTTTGTTTTGTTTTGTTTTTCGAGACAGTGTTTCTCTGTGGCTTTGGAGGCTGTCCTGGAACTCGCTTGGTAGTCCAGGCTGGTCTCGAACTCACAGAGATCCGCCTGCCTCTGCCTCCCGAGTGCTGGGATTAAAGGCGTGCGCCACCAACGCCCGGCCGCCCACAAATTCTTATTGATATCAAATCCAGAAAAAGGTTAAGGTTAGGATTCCCTCCCTCTCTTTCTTTTGTGAAAGGGTTTATGTAGTCCTGGCTATTTGGGACTCCCTATGTAGACCAGGTTGGCCTTGATCTGCATTCCTGTACCTTCCTCAAAAGTGCTGGGATTACAAGCTTGAGTCATTATGTCTGAATATGTATTTTATTTCTAATGAATTAAATATTTGTAATAAGTTGGGGAAGGATTACAAAGGCAAAGCAATTTCATACTTCTACAACCCATACAGAATTTTTGTTTTCTTTTTAAACAAGCATTTGGGAGGAGCTGAGAACAGAATCCCTAGTGTTTATCTGCTATTGAGAAGCAGTGGCAACGGACAGTGCTGGGGACAAATGGAAGGAATTGATCACAGTGATGCATTCCAATCAATATTTTTCAGGATTCCACAAATAACCAGAAGCTCAAGCTGTTGTTTTAAGGCAATCATATATCCAAAGTACTGCTTCAAACAAAGGAACTTTTCCCATTATGGCAAAACAGTGAGGGCATTTCTCTGTTGCTTTGGAGGCTGTCCTGGAACTCTGTAAGATCAGGCTGGCCCCAAATTCACAGAGCTCTGTCTGCCTCTGTCTCACGAGTGCTGAGATTAAAGGCTTGGGCCACCTACACCCAGCATCAGTGAAGGCATTTTTAATGGAATCCATGGTCTAGCTTTAGCAATCTCAGATAAAATGTCAGGCACATCTAACTCCACTACTCTACTATGCTACCTGATCAGTTTATTTTTCTTAACCCAAGAAACTGAGTTTTATCTATTATTACTTTGTTTATTGTTTGTCCTATGGTGTAGCCTAGGCTGGCTTTGAACTCACAAGCATTCCCATGTCTCAGCCTCCCAAATACTAGGATTACAGGGATGTGCCACCATTTTTTAATGAAAATAAGTGTTATACTTGCAACATTACAGCAGGAGGTAAAATGAGCACTTTAAAATGCATTTGCTGTACATACTTGGCATATCTGTGAACAACTCCTGCTGGTTACACAAGTATAAATGACCAAGATTGCCTTTTTTGCCTATTCAGCTCAGAGTAACGAGGAACAAACTTTATAGTAAAGATAAATGGTACTACATGAACGTTTCTCCATCCTGTCCCTTCTCTTCAATTCTGGGAGAAACACTAGCACATGTCTTCACCGTCAGTAGCACCCACAATTCCCACTTTCCTCAGGACACCTCCAAAGAGCTCACAGTTCCTCACTGTCACAAGCACTCCATGGGGCATTACCTGTGTGCAGCCTTTTAAGAATAAGGCCTTGAGACCCCCACAGCCTCTCACTAGTGCTTGAATGCCATCCTTGGTTACTTGGTCACACCAGGAAATGTTCAACTGCTCCAACAGTGGACACCCCTCACTTAGGATAAAACAGAATGAGACAAGCATATCACTACCTCCAATCCCAAAGCCACCAGGCTCATCTTTGGTGTTCACTGGGCAGGGAATTTTAAATCCAGTTTACCAACAAGCACAAAGTACATACTGTTTTTCAGATACAGATTGTATATGGAAATTAAATGACAAGTTTAAATTTACAGAGTAACTAACGACAGTTCAGATTCAAGGTCAGATTTTCAACCAAGGAATTTTACTACTATCAAAATTCTAGTGAACTTGTATTTAAAAAAAAAATCACAGAGGATCTCTATATTTCCTCATATGTTTTTTTCAGGCCAAAGTAAGGTTAGATCATGTTCAACCTTTTCTCTGATTCTCCCTGTTCTCATGAGTCTAGTCCTAGGTGGAACACAAGGCTTTCAAGTCGTCTATCACTGCAGACACTGCTTGGATGGTTTTAAGTATCCTGCTTATATAGCAAAGTCCTTAAATAAAACCACAAGATCTAATTTAAGCTCATCTTCAACGTAAATAACCTGACTCCAGCCAATTCACTTTGTCCTAACCTCTAGTGCAACATTAGCCACATGCCATCCCAGGGTTGCCCAAACTGAGACACGTTTAACATTAGCTAGTGCAGCAACAAAATACACACTTACACGTCTTTTTCACCCATAGGCTCTGTGAAACTGTCAGGCACAACATCTTAGACACATTTCATGGCTGCTTCAGTAGTACCCTGAACCTTACCTTTTAGATTTTTTAAAAATCTTTAAGTGCTTGTACTATCTAATGCATAAAATAAATGAGATCAGTTGTGTGAAAGTATCTTATAAATGTTAAGTGTCACCATATTTATGGTCTTATATGGCAAGCAATTCTAGATATTGTATATTTACATTGTATATTCAAAAGGAAGGTCCAAAAGGAGCCATGTTATACATCAATTGCACCCTCTAATTCTTCCTCTCTCTTGCCCAGGGATTATATATAGGTATGCTGCACCATAATATACAGAGTGTGGCAAGCAGCTTGCTTTTTTTTTTTTTTTTTTTTTTTTTTTTTTTGCTTTTTCTACACGGGGCTTCTCTGTGTAGCCTTGGCTGTCCTGGAACTTTCTCTGTAGACAAGGTTGGCCTCAAACTCATAGATCTGCCTGCCTTTGCCTCCCAACTGCTAGGATTAAAGGCATTGGTTTAATATGTGTAAGCAGAACGAACACACAGTACCCTAATTACTTAGGAAAGTCTAGTTATAATAAAATACATTTTATTTGGGAGCTGAAGGCAGGAATTTCAGAAGTTCAAGGCTATCTATAGCTATACAGCAAGTTCAAGGTTATACAAGTTCAGGGCTAGTAGTAGTCTTAAATTTTTCTTCTAACTCAGGTTGGTAGCACTCTGTAATCTCAGAGGCTGAGGCAGAAGGATCATAAATTCAAAGCCTTCCTGGACTATAGAGTGAATTCAAGGCCAGTCTGGTCTACATAGTGAGCCACTATCTAAAAATTAATGTACCCCATGATTTTAGTGAGCTGGGGCAAGAGAAAAAAGGTGTACTGGGAACTACAGTACACATCCATAAATAATGCTGTCTTCAATTCCAACTTTTGTCAGCTGTTTTTCCAAAGTATGTATTAATACACATAGTACTATAAGAAATTTACCTCAGAGCTTTGAGAGACATGTTTGTTATTGATGTACAGGAAGCCAAGTCGAGGTGCCTGAGTTTGGAGCAGAACTTGCTAAGGCTAGTACAGGTACTGCGAATGGAGAAAAAGAAAATAATTAATACACATTTAAAATAAGAATATATTTAGGCACAGTGGATAAAAGCGCTTGCCATGTCAACTGAACGACTCTGGTTCAGTCCTCAGGCCTCACTGGGGAATACCATCCCAAAAGCTGTCCTCTGACCACACACTTTTGCTCCAGAAGTTGTGTGGCTGCACTCCAAAACACATAAAAATAATAATTAAAATTTAAGTAAGTCATTGACAATGTATATACAATTTCAACAACATGAGACCTGTAGTATTTTCATGGCATCCAAGAAGCGATAAACCCTACAACCTTATGACAGGAAAAGGTAAAGGAAGCTATGCTGGGTATGATTTGCACAAGATGAAGATTCTGGGTTTACATCTGCAAATACTATTAGCTAGTGACTGCATATGAAGCAGTGTGAAGAGGGCAATGTTTGCTCTATAAACCCTAAAACACCAGATAACTAGCACCAAAGCTCTATTTCTGCTTCAACTCAGTTTTCTACTTAAAAACTTTCTGCAGCAATAAAAGAACTGGGATTTTCCAAGGAACACAGAAGGAATGGTACAGGGGTATACAATATTTTATTCTTTGTGGTGCTGGGGGTCACACTAAACAAGCCCTCCACTGTTAGGACACACCCAATGTGCTATATGAATATATTTAAATTTAAGGTTTTTTACTTACTACTATATGTGCATATATGATGTATGTGTGTATGCATACATGTGTCAAAGCATACCCTATAGCCCTATGGAGGTCAGAGGAGTTATTTTTCTGTTTCTACCAAGGCTTGCACAGCTATGATGAGTTCATGAAGTTTTAAATATATAAGCTCATGACTGGAAAAATCAATCAATCAATCAATCAATCAGCAGTTAAAAGTATTAGTTACTCTTCTAGAGGTCCTGGGTTCACTGTGGTTCACAAATATCTCTAATTCCAGTTCCAGAGGATCAAATGCCCTCTTCTGGCCTCTACAGGCACCAGCTCTAATGTGGTGCACAGCTATACACACAAGCGACAAGTTCATGACTTAGTCTTCCTAATAAGACTGGCTTGGAACTGGATCAACCGCTTGCATCTTTCAGCAGCTGGAATTCTCTTAGACTGCCAGGTGGTTCAACACTGAGGTCACAGGGTTAGTTTGAGCTGGTTTGGTGGCGCACCTTTAATCCCAGCACTCGGGAAGGCAGAAGCACGTGAATCTCGAGTTAGAGGCCAGCATGGTCTAGAGTGAGCTCCAGGACAGCCTCCAAAGCCACAGAGAAACCCTGTCTCAAAACCTCCTCCCTGCACCAAAAAAGTACATATTGGGCTTCCAGAGGTCCTGAGGTCAATTCCCAGAAACCATATGGTGGCTAATAACCATCTATAATGGGATCTGATGCCCTCTTTTGGCATGCATGCAAAAAAATAGTATTTCAGTTTTTGCGGGTCAGTAATTGAACAGATACTTCCTAAGAATGCCCACAAATTAAGAATAGTTTCACAGTTTTGTTGTTGCTACTGTTTTTTAGTTTTTTGTTGTTGTTTGTTTGTTTGTTTTTAAAACAGGATTTCTCTACAAAGCCCTGGCTGTTTTGGAACTTGGTCAGTAGAGCAGGCTATCCCTGACTGCATGCCTCTGCCAACAAAGGCTGGGATTAAAGGCATGGGTTACCATGTCTGGCTTTGTTTATGATGTATAAAATTGTATTTAATTAGAATATTTTTTGTTTTTTGAGATAAGAGTTTCATGGACAAAGCTAGAGAGATGGCTCAGTGGATAAGAGTACTGCCTGCTCTTCCAGAGGTCCTAAATTCCATTCCCAGCAACTACATGGTGGCTCACAACCACCTGTAGCTGAGATCTGGTGCCCTCTTCTGGCCTGCAGGCATACATATGGGCAAAACAGTATATCTTAAACAAACAAAGAACCAAGTTGCTTCTGCCAGGCGTTGGTGGTGCATACCTTTAATCCCAGCACTCAGGAGGCAGAGGCAGGTGGATCTCTGTGAGTTAGATACTAGCCTGGTATACAGAGTGAGTTCCAGGACAGCCTCCAAAGCTACAGAGAAACCCCGTCTTGAAATACAAGCTGGGTAATCATGGTAGCCCGAGCTGGTCTGAAACTCAAGTCTCCATATGCGGAGAATCACCATATTAGCTTATTTCCACTAAACTCAAAAGGCTTCGGGTTTTTTTGTCTTTAAACTTCTGGGTTATTTTGATATATATTGCTTTAATTCTTGGTACTTTCTCAGAGTTTCTTCTGTTGAAGATCTCTAGTTTACCTTTCTAGTTATGGAAGAGAATATATTCTCTTTATTATATTTCAGTCTTAATAATCTTGTTTATTTCCCAGACTATGGTCTATTCAGGACCATGTTCTAAGTGTGCTAGAAAACAATGTGTACTCTGCAGTCACTGGGTAGAATGCTCTGTTTGCACAGACAGCATTTTCCATCCTTTTATTTAGTTATGTATTTGGGGGGACAGAGTCTTACTATAGAGCCCTTCCGGGCTTAGATCTTGCTATGTAGATCAGGCTGAACCCTAGCTTAGAGATCCGTCTGCTTCTGCCTCTAAGTGCTGGGATTAAAGCATTAATAATGCCTAGCTACCCATATTTATATTTCTAGCATATTTTTGTGCTTATTTCTAGTTTAGTATGGTCCAGAGACTCTGTCTCATCCAGACCCTTGGGCTGCTGCTGTTCCTACTCAGCATTTTCCTTTGTTTTCTGACCTTATTTTTTTAAAGGCCCCCAATTCCCAACCATCTATGAGGTCTGGTGCCCCCTTCTGCTGTGCAAGCATACGTGCAGGCAGAACAACATAATGGATAATCTTTTTTTTTGTTTTTTCGAGACAGGGTTTCTCTGTATTGTTTTAGAGGCTGTCCTGGAACTCACTCTGTAGACCAGGCTGGCCTCGAACTCACAGACATCTGCCTGCCTCTGCCTCCCGAGTGCTGGGATTAAAGGCGTGCGCCACCAATGCCCGGCCCATAATGGATAATCTTAAAAAAAAAAAACTTTAAAAAAGATTTCTGAAAAGCCCCAATCAGTTTAGAAACAATACTTATTTATTACAGAATGCACATTACGCCCTTCCACGAGCTATATTCTAAGCTCTGCAAATTTTCTCTTCTGTTTTTGTTGGTGCTAGATCAAACTGAAGCCCTCTTACTGCACAACAACTTCCCTCCATTGTACTTAAGTGAGAGTTGTTCACATTCCTACCAATGGATACCCTCGGATTGGAGTTCTGGACAACTACTTGTGCATCTCATGACTGACTGGGAGATGAAGGATTGGGTTAGCTTCTTTTAAATTATGAGTGGCAGGCACAGTCATTTTCTTAATTAATAGTTTTATAGAATTATCTTTTATGTGGCTTTTGATAATTAACCCCACACCATATACATTTTATGTTGCAAAGATCTCAAAGATGAGATCAAAGTAAGCTTCCTATTCTATTTCTATTTACAATCACCTTTTATCTTTAAGATCCTTCTTCTAGCTTAGTGGCACACTGCAAGGCCCTAGGTTCATTCCTAGCATCACAAGCCACACAAAAACTCATTCATAAAAATCAAGAAAACCTAATGTGTTCACTAGCCTACAGTCACAGCTAGAGTAGGACTAAAACTCAATACTTACGCATCTGTTGTCTTTGTACACCCATTTAGATTCAGTACTTCAATATTCCTACAATTTTGTGCAAATGTCCTTTATGGAAAGAAAAGGTAAAGGTTAGTAAATCTAGATATAAGGCATTACCACTGGTAATACTGGTTGTTGGCACTTATGAGCCTTGATAAGTAAAATACATATTTGGTTTTCACTCCTAGTTTCTAGGATAGAGATCCTAAGACCTTGTAATTTCCTCAGTGACAGGTCAGAGGATAGCATTTGCTCTCGCATTTGGTCATTATGTCTTTGTGGGACCAGAGCTCCTGGGTTGCCGTGCTGGGGAGGCGGGCGCAGATGCTGCTGTGCTCCAGTCCCTAACCTGCCTGTGACCATCTCCTCCAGCTATCCACGCCTGCACTTCTTAACAGAAACATGGGACTCACAAGGGCACCTCAAGGAGAGGCTGACTACTGGGACTGACGTAGCCTGTGGAGTGTGAGCTAACTCCAGACAGTTCCTGTCAGCACTGAATGGTAATATATACTCTGTATCTGCAACATCAAAGAACTGGCTGATAAGTAGAAGAAAAATGAAACAAATGTTCGCCTTTGTTGTGTGAAGTGTGAATGAGGTCAACAGAGCACAAAGTGGCTGGTGGGTGGGCAGAAATTAATTTCCTACAACAGCTAAAGCTGAGATTCCTTTAGTGTTCTCAGAAGGGTCACTGCACAGCCCTGACTGACCTTGAACTTGCAATCCTTCTGACATAACCTCTCAGTTTCTAAAAATAAATTTTGAACTTTGTGTCAAAAGCAAATGACTTTATACTTGAAAAAAGTCTAAAACAAAACTCACTCAAGGTACCCAAAGAGCTATTTTAATGTGGAGCACTTTTCTATGTTCCTGCCATGTAGCCCAGGCTGACTCAAACACGAGAGCCTCCTTCCCAAACACACTAACCTAGGGATTATTAAGGGTTAGCCTGGGTCCCCACTTCCTATTAGATATTTTTGATATAACCAAAGTATATGCTTCCATTTGAAATACCGCAGGAAAATTTAAAAGCTACTGGAATGAGATGGTGCTGTCTTTAGTTCAATCTGAGACATTAAAAGTTGTCTGCATATCTTTAATCCCAGAACTCGGGAGGCAGAGGCAGGTGGATCTCTGTGAGTTTGAGGCCAGCCTGGTCTACAGAGTGAGTTCCAGGACAGCCAGGACTACACAGAGAAGCCCTGTCTTGAAAAGGCAGATAAAATAAAACAAAAACCCACCTGTAGCATGAATAATAAAAACCCAGAGACAGATATTGGGGTTAAAGCTGAAGACCAGAAAAGCAAAGCAGTCAGGATAGGCTCCAAAGCTTCAGAGAAACCAAAAAAAAAAAAAAAGTTCTGTTTTCTTACCTTAATGCATTGTCTCCTACTCCAAGACACCCACGAAGACTCAACTTTCGTAAAAAGCCTCCACATCGTTTTGAGATATTTTCCACTACTCGGCCCTATAAAGAGACATTTAAGCAGAAAGATGCCCCCCCTCAATTTATAAACAGAGAGAATAGGCTTGCAGAGTTCTATATACACGTATATGCCTCACCTGGATTAAAACACAGATAACCTTTCACAATTACTTTTGTGTCCTTTAAAAGTTCTCTAGAATTCTGCTACAGCAGGAACTCAATGAGCAACTAGTACCTTGCTGAATGATTCTGTGGGGTTTGAACATATATATCCATGAGATCAGAGAATTGTACAGTAAATGGGTTGTTCTTTGTCGTTGGTAATTTTATGTGTATGGATTCTGGCTATATGTAAGCCTGTGCATACAGACTGAGTTCCAGTATAGTCAGGGCTACACAGAGAAAAGCAGGCAAGAAACAAGCCAAGCTAAAGCTGGGTATTCATGAAAAACGACTAAGATTCTGAGTGTGTGATTTGGGAGCTGGGTGGTAGGCCCTCCAAAAGAGTAAAAGAGCCAGAGTAATGAGTGACGAAACAACCAACAACAGTGTGCCCCCCCTCCTGACTTGTACACAGATGATGGGGATCTAAACTCAGGTCCTCACTACTCTTGTATGTCTCCCACCCTGTGAGCCTCAACATCTTTCTGCTCTTCTGGGCTGTCTCTAAATGCTGGGATTACAGGCATGTGCAACCCTGGATGCTGACACACTTTTCTATTTAGAGGTAACAGGCTATACTAAAAGATTAAATGGAAAAGAAAGAACCCTACACACAAGAAAGTCACCTTTCATTAGTAAAAATAATTTAATAATTCTAGTTTTATCCATTCTTCATTATCCATAAAAACTATCTCCATTTTTGTTTACCCCAAGAATCAAAATATACATCAAGAAGAAACACAGGTATTACCCAACAAGTTTAAACCTCCTTACCATTCAATAAACTAATAAAATAACCTGCTATACATGAGCAAACACAAAAATTACTACAAAACAAAATCTTGTGGTTTCACTTCAGGACTAAAGTTATTAAAGAACTTAGCATTATTTCAGGGAAATAATTCCACTTATCCTCAAAAACTGAAGGAAATTAGGGTAGAAAACCAGCCAGTGGGAAAGTATGGCCTATCATGCATGAGACCCTAGGTTTGCATCCTGGTACTAGCTAGCTTCCCAGACCTGAAGAAACACTTGTTGTGAGACAGTCTCACTGTGTAGCCAGGATGTTCTCCACTCATACTGACTGGCCTTGCTCTGCTTCAATGAAAGGCTTGTGTCACATGTCTACCTGAGACTTCTACGATGTTCAGCTGTACCAAAAATAATTTCTTTAGTGGAAAAAAATTACATACCTAGGATTAATGCTGTAACTACTATTGATATAAATGGGGCCACACACCACATAATTATACCTCAATATCCCGCTGGAAATCAAACAGGTCAATTCGTTGCCAGTTACTGCCGTCCAGAGCTAGGACATTCCAGGCCTATTTTGAATAAGAAGAGACAGGATGAGCAGAGGCTGAAATGAAAACAGAAACTGACAGTATTTGAGTTCATAATTCAACTAACAAATAATTGAGAATGACCCAAAACGTCCTGAGTTCCTACCAATATTATCTCCAAGCATCTGCAGCACAGTGGTATGGCACTGGGAAGGGAGTCTGGTACATGATCTTACTCTCTAATTGTGTTTTCCTCAATTAGCAATGTACTCAGTTAGGCTTTATAATGAATCAATATTCTATCCAGCTTTACACAGAGACAGCTTTATTTTATTGCTTGTCATGCTGGGTATCAAATCTAGGGCCTTGTGTAAACTAGGCAAGCGCTCTACCACTGAGCTACATCCAGAGTCCTTGTGTTCTAGGACTGGTCAAACAGTGGTAACTTTAAAACTGCAAACTTAAAACTGTTTAGCAGTTTCATCAGTAAACTGGAGGTAGCAAGAAAATTTGTTAAGCTTTTCAGGATTGGGTGAGAAATGACTTCAGGAGGAGCAAATTTATTGTGGCTCATTTGGTATTTGGTTTTAAAAGTACAGTACAATAAATGTACTGTCTATTGTGTGTGTCTGAGACAAGGTCTCACTATATAGCCCAGGGGTGCCCCCAAACCCAAGATACTCAAGTACCAAGGCTATAGGTATGAGTCACTATATTCAGCTCTAGAGTATTCATTCATCCTTCCTTCCTTCCCCCCCCCAAATATATATATTGGAGGCAGGGTTTCTCGTTGTGTAGCTCTGGCCTTCCTGGAAGTCACTCTGTAGACCCGGCGGGCCTTGAACTCAGAGAGATCTGCCTCCCAAATGCTGTGACTAAAATTGTATGCCGCCACCACGATCCAGTAATAGAATACTCCTTATTACAACAAATTTACGAAGCAATTGAATGTAGATTATATTTATTGCCATTTCTCTGAAAAACAATTTTTGGTACCAGGTCTCACTCTGTAACCCTGGGTGATCTTGAACTCTTAGAGACCCCTCAGCCTCTCCCTCCCAAGTGCTGGGATTAAGGCTTGGGCCACCATGTCCCACTTATCTCCAAAAATTTCAAAAAAAAAATTCTAGTTATTCTGAGAAACCCAAGGGTAACTGTCATACGATTGGTAAGAAGCATGTATGGGTGTGACCGTAAGCAAGAAGCTATTCTAAAACTAGGTCAGGTTCTCACATGATCAAGGTTAATTTTCTCTTTGTGGCTTCAGATTTTTCTAGTGGTTTTTCATTTGTTTTGTTTTGTTCTTTCTTTTAAATAGTTAGCCCTTGAAGTAACAAATAAAACTCTTAAAAACCACATGTTTAAGAGATTCTCGGACTAAATATATCTGTGTGCTAGTCCTTGCCAGGTTCTTCAGGGAGCAGGAAGCATGCAGGACTCAGCCTAAAATTAGGAATGACAGGTTCCTCCCTAGAGTCTGCATTAAACAACAAAACAAAACAAAACAAAACCCTCAATGTGTTGGCAGTATGGTGCAGTGGTAGGCCCAGCCCAGTGCCCCAGCAGTGCAACAGCAAACATCTCGTTCCCAATACAACCCTTAACTGCCAGGGACAGATACCAATACACCAACAATCCAAACATAACAACATTTGGTGTGTTCCCTCCCTTCCTTAAATAAAAAGCACAATTAAAGTGTGAGCACCCTGGATGATGACTTTCAGCTCACGTGTACAAAGAATGCTTATCACAGTTACTGTGATAAGAACAGCTTAAAGAAATCATGACATTGCTGATGGTTCCCAAAATGGCGGATCTGCAAGTATAGCTTTTAAGATGGAGAAATTACTTTAAAATTACCATAAATGGGAAATACCCACAATGAGGTCTTGGTTTTCATATACGGTGGCAGTAGGAGCTATTGTGGTGGTTTGAAGAGACACATGTTCAAACACAGAAGTACTTTATGAGACATTCTTGAGTACTGGTCTACTCTGCAGCATTTTCCTCCTTTCCTGGCATTTTTGGAGGAAAGACTATGTGGAGATAACAGGAATTAGATGCTCAAGAGGCTTTAATACATCCTTATGCTTGTCTATGTGCTGGTGTAAATAAACTATGATAGAAACAGTAAAATATGATTTTGTTATAAATTTTTTTTTGGTTTTACTAGACAGGGTTTCTCTGTATTGTTTTGGAGGCTGTCGGTCCAGCCCGGCCTCGAACTCAGAGATCCGCCTGCCTCTGCCTCCCGAGTGCTGGGATTACCACCGCCCGGTGATTTTGTTATAATTTGTTGAGTCAAGCTTAGTTAATTAGCTGAGTCAATGCTTTGACATAAAGTAGCCTTGTTTATAACATGTAAATGTTAAAAACAGCACATAATACAGAATCCATCATAGAACTGTATGGGACAGAGGGTGTACTCAGAGTGAAATAATGTCTTCTGTAAAATATACAAGTGACACCTAAAGTACCAGCTGACTAAGGCTATCAGCCTGGAAGCCAAGAAAGGTCCCTCCAACGTCGACCATCTTACCCTGGAGACCTGAGCACAGCGACACAAGGTAACAACATCCAGGAAAGAAAATATCCTAAGAAGAAAAGAGAAGGAACAAACTTTTATCATCTCTCACTGTAATATACTGTCTCATACATTCTCTCTCCTGCCCACCCACCCACTATGTTGATCAGGATGACCTTGAACGTGATACCCTCCTGCCATAGCCTCTGGAGTACTAGGCTTACAGCTGAGGTTGCACCTAGGTTTTTTGTTGTTGTTGCTGTTTTTTGTTTTTAGAGACAGGATTTCTTTGTATTGCTTTGGAGCCTGTCCTGGCACTCACTCTGTAGACCAGGCCGGCCTCGAACTCAGAGATCCACCTGCCTCTGCCTCCTGAATGCTGGGATTAAAGGTGTGAGCCACCAATGCCCAGCCAGTATCTAGTTTTTTAACTAAAAAGTTTACTGTACAAAATAGGTTTCATTATATATTTATGTATCATTGTACATTGCTCACAGTCTAGTACATTGTCTCCTTGCATCTTGCTAGTTGTTTTTCCACCCTCAAAGAGTTGCTTAAAACATTTCTCAAGGGTTCACACAGTATGAAGTGTGTAGTTCAAGAGCACTAAGCAGTGACTCTCATCATGCAATAATTATCACCAATCTTTAAAACTTTATCTTGTCAGCCGGGCATTGGTGGCACACAACCACTCAGGAGGCAGAGGCAGGCGGATCTCTGGGAGTTCGAGGTCAACCTGGTCTACAGAGCTAGTTCCAGGACAGCCTCCAAAACAATACAGAGAAACCTGTCTCGAAAAACCAAAAAAAAAAAAAATAATAATAATAGTAGTAATTTGAAGAAAATGTGTATGTGCTGAGGAGTCTTCCTGACTACCTTTTCCACTGGCCTTTATGTAACTCTAGCTGTGACGCTAACATTGCTTCATTGTTCTTTCTGTAGGACAGATTTCACTCTATAGCTGGAGCTCTCTATGAACTCCTGACCCTTCCACCTCATCTTTCAGAATACTGAATTACAAGTGTGCACTGTGCCACCCAGCTGCAGAAGGTGGTTTGGATGATTCAGATAGTTGCATGGTGTCAAGATGAAAAAAGGGAACTAACAATAGCACTGAATTATTACAAGAAATTTCCCTTATGTAAGTAAAAGCTCTGCTTCTGTGTTAATCCCCAGCCCTCTTCACTGTTAAAGACAGGGTTTCAGGTTGACTCTGCATCCCTCACAGGCTTTGTCTTCAAAGTGACTAGGATCACATACCTGAACTACCAGGCTCATCTTAGATTCTGACATTTTTTATTTGTTCCACATAAGAGACTGATAACTGAGTTAGAAGGACTAAGACCAATAGGGTGAGCAAACATACTGTTCTATATCCCATAATGTCAGCTGGTCTCAAACTGAGGGGCAACTCTCCTGCCCCAATCTCATGAGTGCTGGGATTACAGGGGCACACATGGCTCTCTCACTATGTAGCCCAGGCTAGCCTCCAACTCACAGGGACTATCTCTGCCATCCAAGTGCTGGTTTGAAAATGTGTGCCTCCACCTACGACTCACGTGCTTTATTTTACCTTTATTTTATTGTCTGAGTATAATTGTTTTATCCAAATGCATGTATATGTTCAGTCTATATGCCTGGTCCCTACAGGCATCAGAAGATGGCATGATATCCTCAGAAGTTACAGAAGACACCATGTGGGTGCTGAAAATCAAACCTGGAACCAAATCTCCAGCCTGACTCATGTGGTTCCTGTCTTTTTAGGTGGGAGGGAAGCTGAGACAGGGTCTTTCCAAGTAGCCATGGTTGTCACAGGACTCTCACTCTATAGACCAGACAGGATGGTCTTTGCCTCCTGTGTTGGGTTAAGATGTGTGCCACCAAACCCAGCTTTCTCATGTTTTTGAAATGATCCTCTTGTCACATATCTGGAGAGGCCACACCACACATCTGATGTCATCTACATATTTCCAGCACTATTATTTTAACTCTACAATGATATTCATTAGCTATGCAAGCCTTATTCAGTTTTTATCTGGGAGCCTTCCAGAGTATATTGAATTCTTCAGCGTACACTGTGTGTCAGACCTCCCTCACTGCAAAAAATACCTGATGATCACAATTTCATAAGTTACTTGGCTGTGCTGTTGCTTAGACCATTGGTGAGGTTGTATGCAACATGAGGGGGATATGTGGTAGCCAGGAAGCAGACAGAGAAGCAGGAAGTAGCCAGGATCCCAATATTCCAGTGCCCTCTTCTGGTCACTGTAGTCACGGTACACGTGTCACATAGACATACACATACTAACAGACAAAACACCTGTACACATGAAGTAAAAATGACATGCTAATGCTAACGGGAGTACTAATGACATGTCTCTTGGATCATACTGAGCAATCAGTACTACCATTTTCTATGCAAAAGCCTTAACAACCAAGCTCTGTGGTAAAGGAATGTCAGTCCCTATAGGTGTGCAGGGAAGTAGTACGTTTTTCCTTTTACACATTATAATGATTATCCATCACCAGTTCTCATTCCATTTATTATTATCTTAATTATAAAAGTAGGAATGCTGATTATATATTTCTAAATTTAGCTTTTTGAGAACTGCCAACCTGTTTTTTCCTTCATGGCTATACTAATTTTATATTCCTACCACGAATTTATGAAAGTCAATTTCTCCTCCTTTCCTACATGTTCAAACTCATGATCTCCTTGTCTCAGAATCATGGATATTGGGATTAGAGGTGGGTGAAGGCATCACCATGTTCAGCAAAAAAGGTGAACTTGGGTTCCATACTGTAACTTTTCTCTAAGATTGAAATCACACAAGAAAATTTATCTCATTCATTTCTATTTTTTAAAACAAGAAAGAGTATCACTATGTAGCTCTGCCTGTCCTTGAACTCAGAACTGCCTGCTTCTGCTTCCCAAGTGCTGGGATTACAGGTCTGTACCACCACACTTTGCCTAGCCTATTCATCTCAATGATTCATGCCTAGGATTTAACTCTATGAAATAATTAGCAATATTTTAGAAAACTAAAGAAGAAAAAAATCACTTAGCTGTGTTACTACAGCAAATAGAAAAAAAAAACAACTGGAATCTGCTAACTGGTAACTGATTATAAGTAAAAACTGTAGTACAGCCAAGATAATAAAATTCTATTTATTTTTCTACCTGTAGGTTCATGATACATTAAGTGAGTAATACTCTAGATTAAGAGATTAACATGCAGATCTGTTATAAAGTAAAAAACTAAAGTTCCAGGACAGCCAGAACTGTCACACAGAGAAACCATGTCTTGGAAAACCAAAACAATAACAGTAGTAATGATGATGATGAAAAAAAGTCACAGTAAAATTACAAATGACAGGTGTTTTTACATAGGTAACATAACAATGTAACCAGTCTATGAAACAAGTTATTAAGATTTATGATAAGCTAAGCATGGTGGCTTAGCCTACAATTTCAACACCTGGAAGACTGAGACAAGAAGGTTGTGCCAGTCAGATCTTGTTATCAACAAAACAAAAACGGCTGGCATAGGCCTCTAATCGCAGCCCTCGGGAGGCAGAGGTGTACAGGGAAAGCATGCACAGTGAGACCTTTCTCAGAAAGACAGAACCACTTCCTATGATAAAAGATAAATAAGAACAAGAAAAGCTAAGGACAGCAGAAATTTTTATCTTTTTTATTTGTTTCTATATTTCTGGCTGGCCTGGAACTTGCTATGGGCTCATGCTTCCTCCCACTGAGGTGGAACTGTATTTTCTTATCCTATTTCCCAGCCCTCCTCCATTCCTTCCTGTCTTTATAGAGAGGGTAACAGAAGCAGGAAGTAAGTGATTTGCTGAGCTCACAACATGGTTTACCATCTTTTGGCCTTAAGTCTTCCATACAAAAATATTAGTTTTAGAAACCTTTTAATTGCCGGGCGTTGGTGGCACCTTTAATCCCAACACTCGGGAGGCAGAGTCAGGTGGATCTCTGTGAGTTCGAGGACAGCCTGGTTTACAGAGAGTTCCAGGATACCTTCCAAAGCCACAGAGAAATCCTGTCTCAAAAAAAAAAAACCTTTTAATTAACATCTTTTATTTAATTTGTGTGATGGTGATGATGGAGGGGGGGGGTTGCCAGTGTGTGTGTGTGTGTGTGTGTGTGTGTGTGTGTGTGTGTGTGTGTGTGTGTGTTTGTATAGGTCAGAGAAAAGCCTACCAACCCATTCTCTTTCCTCTTTTCATGGGTTCTGGAGATGTGACTCAGGTCATCAGGGTTTTGTAGCAACTGCTGAGCTATCTTATTATCCAAAAATGAGAAACTTTTAGAGAGTTCATTAGGAGAATCATGCTTGCCAAGTGTGCTGGTGCCTGCTTCTAATCCCAGGCATCTGGGGGCAGAGCTTCAGGGCCAGTCTCAAAAAAAAAAAAAAGTCTCTCATGCTCTGACTGATGAAGCTGGTCACTAATATTGCTCATTATTAAAATGAAAAATCTCAGATTAACTTTTTACTCATGTTTTGACCGAGTGTCTTTGGCTCAGGCTGGTCTAAAATCTGCTATGTAGCCAAAATAACCTTCAATTCCTGATCCTTTCACCTCCACCTCCCAAGTGTCACCACACTCATCCAAGACTGTTTTTAGACAAGGTCTTTCTTTTTTTTTTTCTTTTTTTTTTTTGATTTTTACGAGACAGGGTTTCTCTGTATTGTTTTGGAGGCTATTGGTCCAGCCCGGCCTCGAACTCACAGATAGACAAGTCTGTACAGTCCTGGAACTCACTCTGTAGACCAAGCTGGCCTTGAACTCAAGAAATCCTCCGGGCTCTGCCTCCCTAGTGCTGATATTAAAGGCCTTTGACACCATGTTTGGCTTGAGACTGATTTATAATGGTTCCATGTCAATGACATCTCATAAATATTCTACAACATAAAGTGATTGAAAGTCACATGCAGCTTGGAGGACAACGGAGACACAGTTAAACTCACGCCTCCTATCTGTGGAGGATTGTGTCTAAGCCACCCCAACACACATCACACCACAATCCACATGTGATCATGCCCCTTATAAGCATAATGACAAATAATTTTTTAGGGGCTTTATGCCCTTTACCCTGAAGATAGATTAACGTGGGGGAGGGGTGAAAGAAAATGCAGGTAACCACAAACACTGGAAAGGAAGAGCTCCAGAACAAGGAAGGTAAATTCTACCCAACTGCATTGACTTCTGAATTCTGCACACAAGGTCTTCATTCAAAAGTGCACTTCTATAATGGGCACAAGCGAAGTACAGGAAGATCTCCAAGGCTAGTATCTGCACATTGTGATTGATTCAGTCTCAAAACTTTTAAAAGGGGCTAAGCGAGCTCCAAGAAAGGCTCCAAAGCTACACAGAGAAACCCTGTGCTCACCTTTAATCCCAGCACTTGGGAAGCAGAGGCAGGTGGATCTCTGTGAGTTCAAGGCCAGCCTGGTCTACCAAGCTTGACTATTCCACATTATCCTCTGACCTCTACACATGTGGCACATACCCCTCCTCCCAAGCAAATAAAAAATGTATTTTAAAAAATACATTGTTAGGCCGGACATTGGTGGAGCACACCTTTAATCCCAGTACTTGGGAGGCAGAGGCAGGCGGATCTCTGAGCTAGTTCCAGAACAGCTTCCAAAATCACAGATAAACCCTGTCTTCACCCCCCCCAAAATAAAATGTTTTTATTTAAGTTATGATATCATTTTATATAAATGAATACAGAATATTCTATTAAATTAAGTAGTACAGGGTTCAGTAAATAACTTCCCAGATGCTAATTACCTCCTAGATAATTTCTAAATCAGTCATTCTAAACTGGAGGCTGTGTTTTGTGTCCTGGATAGTGCTATACTGTAGTTTCTACAAGTTAAAGTTAAAAAAAATCCTAGTCTTCAATAGGATTAAATAGAAAGAGAATAACCATTGCTTTTTATTTTTAAATCAAGGAGGGGAGGGGGGTATCTAGTGGTGTATACCTTTGCAAGCCCAGCATTTGAGAGGCAGAAGTAAGGGTATGTCTCTGACTTCCAGGCCAGCCTGGTCTACAGAGTGAGACCTTGTCTCAAAGGGGAAAAAAAGTGGCTGGGCAGTGGTGGTGAACGCCTTTAATTCCAGAGGCAAAATCAGGCTGATCTCTGTAAGTTCAAGGCCACACTAATTTACAGAGAAAGTTCCAGGACAACCAGGACTACCCAGAGAAACCCTTGTCTCTCAAGGGATGGGGGTGTGATGGTGGGGTACAAGTCTGTTCCACAAAAAATATATAAAGACGCTTTTGAAACAATGAGCAATAGCTCTTCATGGAGTCCCCAGTACAGTCAACATTTTAATACACACATAAAGGAGTTGAGAAATGATATGGCCTAGAATCTCTCTTCAAAGGACTGGAATCTTTCTACCTAAACTAACAATAAGGCAACAGCAAAGTCAAGTTACAAAATTAGATGCAGATCTAAGTTGAAACACTTAACTTTTTAAAAATTGTTACAATAAATGTAAAATTCCAGATAATAAAGATCAAGCCTGTGTGATGGATCCTGTGAAGGCTATGACCATAGACTAACACACTGACACACACTGGAACAGATAACTAGCAACAAGTTTATACTTAACATACAAATATGATGTACACTACCAACTGACACAGAATTAAGGCTTAGACTTACCTTAGTAGAAGTTCTTTGGGAAGTTTTTTGTTGATTACTGCTTCATCACTGTTTGAGAACATCTGTGAAAAATAAATAAATGAAAAAAAAACCCAAAAACCATTACGTCAGGCAATAACATTTCATCATATTCACAGCTGGGGGAAGCAATTTTCTCAGGAAAAGGTAGAAAAAAATAGCAGGGAAACAAGCAAAATGGTTTAGGAGGTAAATGCTGTCAAGGCCTGATGACTTGAGTTTAAGCCTTGGGAACCACAGGGAGAAGTGATGGCTGAAAGTTGTCCTCTTACCTCCCACTCAATGGGATCCATAGTCAGACAGAACAGCACCAGGTATGGCAGGACAATACATCAGCTTCCTAAATTACCAGTCTTATATCCACTCTAGTGCCTATACTAATCTAATAAATTTAGAGACCCCGCCCCTCTAAACCCCAGAGTTCCCTACCCTCTAACAGCAAGAAGCCCCTCCTCTCCAAAGTTCCAGTGCTGGGATTAAGGGCGTGTACCACCACTGCCCAACTTCAGCTCTTTTTCTTAATGATATCTTTTTTTGTTTGTTTTGCTTTGTTTTTTAAGAGTTTTTGTTTAGCCTTGGCTGTCCTAGAACTCACTCTGTAGACCAGGCTGGCTTCAAACTCACGGAGATTTGCCTGCCTCTTGTTAGTATTCAGGCATCTGTACTGGCCTGTCTTTGGGGTTCTGACAGGATGCGCCCTCATCTGCAGCCACTAAGAGCACCACCTGTGCACATTCACTGTGTTCCCTTTTTAAAGGACCCTGCCTACCTCCCATCCTTGTTGTCTCCCTCTCCTTTCTCTGCTTGAACCCTGTCACATGATGTCTCTTTCTCCTACCTCTTTTCTTAAACTATAACACTTCTGCCTCAGGAGGCCTGGGATTAAAGGCATGCACCACCACTGCCTTGCTTGGATCTTAATGGTATCTTTTTTTGTTTTTGTTGTCCTGGAACTAGCTCAGTACACCAGGCTGGCCTCTAATTCATGGAGATCTGCTTGCCTCTGCCTCCCAACCACTGAGATTAAAGGAGTGTGCCACCACTGCCCAATTTCTTTCTTTTTTTTTTTTTTTTTGGTTTTACGAGACAGGGTTTCTCTGTATTGTTTTGGAGGCTGCCGGTTCAGCCCGGCCTCGAACTCAGAGACCTGCCTGCCTCTGCCTCCTGCGTGCTGGGATTAAAGGCGTGTGCCACCACCGCCCACTGCCCAATTTCTTTCTTTTCTTTTTTTTTTGTTTTTTGGTTTTTCGAGACAGGGTTTCCCTGTGGCTTTGGAGGCTGTCCTGGAACTCGCTCGGTAGACCAGGCTGGTCTTGAACTCAGTGATCCGCCTGCCTCTGCCTCCCGAGTGCTGGGATTAAAGGTGTGCACCACCAACGCCCGGCCACTGCCCAATTTCTTAATGCTATCTTAATGGTATTTTTTGTTGTTGTTACATAGCTAAACTCTAGATTTCCTCCTATATAGTATTTTTAAATTAAGACCTTTAAGGGTCTCAGTCCATTTTCAAAATAATTTGAGTTCTATATAAATTTGGGATTGACTTGTCAACTTCTGCAAAAGTCATTTCTGAAAACTGTGGCCAGTGAGTGTACCATGTACACAGAATTGGAGGACACTACTGTCTGAAAATTAATGAGTTTTCCAAACTAGAAACATGGATTATATCTCCATTTATTTAGGATTACCTTATTTCTCCCAGTAATTTTGATAGTTTTTCAGTACATACGCTTTTAATATTTCTAAAAGTATTTTATTCTTTTTTATGCTACTATAAATGGATCGATTTCTACTCCTGGATTGCTCAGCTCTAGTACACACAACACGTCATTCCATCCCACTGTTTTTAATCTATTTGTGTCTTTGAGCCCAAAGTATATCTTTTCTACATAGAGTAAAGTTCAATCTTATTATCTAGTCTTACAACCTATGCCTTTTGAAAAACAAAAAAAACCCCAGGGTTTCCCAATTGTAGTCTTGGCTGGCCTGGAACTCACAGGGATTCACCTCCCTCTGTGTTGTACTAAAGATAAGTGCCACTAAGTCCAGTCACAGTCGTTAAAGGCAAGTGCCACCAGGCTCAGCCAGAACCTATGCCTTTTATCTTATAATTTTTGTTTGTTTGTTTTCAAGGCAGGGTTTCTCTGTAGCTTTGGAGCCTGTCTGGAACTTGCTCTGTAGACCAGTCTGGCCTTGAACTCACAGAGATCCATCTATTGCTGACTCCCAAGCACTGGTTTTAAAGGTGTACACCACCACTGCCCGGAGAAACTTCTGTCTAAAATATTTCTAATTGATTAGGCATGTCTCTCAGTTTGTTTTCCATGTTTTATTTTATTTCCATCTCCTGTGATTCCTTACAGAGTCAGAATGACTTTCCTCCGGCATTTTCTCTTATGGATTTTGTCTAATTTCATTAACAGCTTCCACAGCAATGGGTGATTTCGCTTTTATTTCTTTTCTAGGATTTGCCTGATGTTTAGAGGTAGAAGACAAAGACAGCAAATGGTCTCAGTCACACCCGATGGCAAAGCTGGGTAGAGTGTCTCAGTCTCTCTTTCTACCCTGCCCCTGACTGTCCTGGAACTCACAGATCCCCTGCCTCTGCTTCCTAAGTGCTGGGATTAAAGGCGAGCACCACCGTGGCTTAGCTTTAATTTCTTCATTTAAAACATTAAAAAAAATTTTTCCTAATGGTTACTCTAGAAATTTGAGTATATACCTTAAGTAGCCGCAATACACTTCAAGTTGTTCATTTCCTTTAAAATACAGAAACTATACTACTAGTATCTGTATTTTATACTGCAATTATATATTAATATTTTCTTTTTTGTGATTATATATTAATCTGATAAGCCCCAAAATATACTTAATTATGCAACTGTCTTTCAATTCAGTTGATAAAAGAATGATTTATTTATAGTATTTTATAATTACCTCTGTAACTAACATTCATAGTGTTTTTTTCCTTGAGTTACCATCTGCTACCATATCCTGAGTTTAACAACCTTGAATAGTTCTGTAAGGCAAATCTGCAAACAACAAATGTCTTGGTGCTTGTTTATTGGGGATTTAAAAAAATTTCCTCTTATATTTTGTGTTTTGGTTTGAATGTTTAAAACAGGGTCTTGATTTATAGCCCAAGCTAGCCTTGAACTCATATGGCTCAATTTCTGAGTAACAATGTATCTGGTTCTCCAGAGGAACAATATCAGTAAAAGGTCTGTGTATCTCTGTATACATCAAGAGAGACTTTCTGGGGATTATTAGCACGCAGAGATGATGTCCAAAACTAGTAGGAAAGGGATGTCTTAGTTCAAGGGAGCGTGGGGAGGGGCATAGCAGAGAAATACTTATTTCTTATCTAAGTGTCCCCAAACACCTAAAGTGGACACATAAAATTAATCATCATTATTGTCATCATAGTACAATGTACAGGTCAGAGGACAATTTGAAGAAGTTGTTTCTTGACTTCCAGTATATGGGTCCCGGAGTTAGAACTCAAGTACACAATTTAGTGGAAAGACCTCTTAACTGCTAATACATCTTGCTGATCCCTATTTTTTTTATTTTTGAGGCAGGGTCTCACTGAGTTACCCAGCCCAGATTCCTGAATAGCAGAGATTGTAGGCAATGTGTCACCACACTCACTCAAATAATTCTGACACCAATTTTGGGTTGCTCTTTTTTTGAGACAAGAGTTTCTCTGTGTAGCTCTGGCTGTATCACTTTATCACTTTGGAGCCTATCCTGGCACTTGCTCATAGATCAGGCTGTCCTAAAACTCACAGAGATCCACCTGCCTCTGCCTCCAGAATGCTGGGATTAAAATTGTTCAACCTCCACCTCACTAAAAAAGCTTTTCTAAAAAGAGAAATTTGTGTAACAAATCATTTTGAAGTGTGCATTTTAGTGGGATCTTAGTGTATTTTAGTTTACTTAAACCTGTTGTGTAGGTGCTATCTTCCTAGTTCCAGAATGTCCTTCTCCCCTCAGAATACTCTGTATCCACTAAGCAATCACTTGGGAACCCACTGTCCCTCATGATTAATCCAGAACAGTCACTATTTTTCTTCAGTATATGAATTTTCCTATGCCTAGTTACTTCATATAAAGGGAATAAAAATGATGTGTTATGCATCATTGATCTCTTTTTATAACGGTTCTGAGATTTACATCATTCTGGTTAGCAGTACTTCATTCTTTTCAGGTCCTGTGAATATACTACATTTTGTTCATTCATTCATGTTAGTGGTCATCCAGGTTGTTAACAAGAACAAGCCTTCTGGATATTATGAATACTGCTGCTTCAGCATTCTTTCTTTTCTTTTTTATGGAGACAGGTTTTCTTTGTGTAGCTCTGGCTGAACTGGAACTCAATTTGCACCACCACCTGGCTGCTATCAGCATTCTTATATACCTATTTATGTGAATACCTATTTTTATTTCATCTATGAACAGGATTATGGTTATGTGACATTTTGATAAAATTTTTAAGTCATTAAACTGATTTCTATAGTAGTTGTATAAAAAAATCTACATTTCTATCACAAAAACAGGTTCACATTTCTCTATATTCCTGCATACACTTGTTAGTGATATAATATCCAGTGCTGGGGATAGAACTCATACTAGGCAAAGCTCCAAACCTATTTAAATCCTTTAATATTAAATTGGGATATTCTATTGACTTGTCAAGGTTCTTTGTATTTCCTAGACACTAGAGCTTTATTTAGCCGGGCGTTGGTGATGCACGCCTTTAATCCCAGCACTCGGGAGGCAGAGGCAGGCGGATCTCTGGGAGTTCAAGGCCAGCCTGGTCTACAGATCGAGTTCCAGGACAGCATCTAAAACAATACAGAGAAACCCTGTCTCGAAAAACCAAAAAACAAATAAAAAATGACTAAAGCTTTATTTAGTACATGATCATGACTTACACACAAATGCTCCCATTTTTTAAGGTTGTCTGTTTATCATCTCAAAGGTCTTAATACACAGATCAGTGTTTCTGTTCTGTTGGTTTTGCTTTTGAGGCAGGTTTCTC